AAAAGAGGGATAACTGAGAGAATGACAAATCTGAACTGTGCAGTAAGAAGAAAAAAAGCACAGAATTGATTGAATCTTTCAATACAAGAGACCAAAGGACTCATTTCATCTCCTGCATTCATGGTTCTGCCTCCTGATTATTAAGAAAGGCTTCTATTTAAGAGGCTATTCCCTTAAGATAGATTCAACATTCTTAGTTTGAGCTGATGAGAAATATTCTAACAAGGTTCGTGATCAAAGATCACTAAATTCACGCCTTGGTGAACTTTTATGTCAACAACTCTTCCAGCTCGCATTTAATTCATTGAGTAAAACATTTTGAAGTAAAAAATAAAAAAATAAAAAAATAAAAAAAAATCAAAGCATATGTCCTTGAAAACAAGGAAAACAGAAGAAAATTATCAGCTAAAGAAGAGAGAAGCTCAAGTAAAGATCACTATTTACATGCTCCCACACTTGACAAAATGAAAAGGAAAACATTCAAGTTGGAAGAATAGCAGATGCTGATACAGACTTCAGAACCATAGCTTATCTGTAACTGTCCCATTGAATGAACAGCTGGGAGTTGCTTGTCTCTGACCCCTGAATTACTAGCAACAGCTGACATTGATGCATGGCATTACCTAATTGTCCTGATGTATTCAGTCTTATCTCCTATTTAACATTTCCGCCATCAAAAATTTGTGTGAAGCACAGTCAAAATTTGAGAGAGGAACCAAATCAGAATTTAAAAAAATAAAATAATTTTTTAAAAAAGCAGCCTGAGGAATGAAGATTCCCTTTCCTTCAGAGAACATTTCATTTTGACACAAGCATACCCTAACTGCTGAAGAACAAGCTTAGCAATCTTCACTGTAAATACAATCAAGTACGCAAGGAAGGAGTTTAATTTTGCTAATAAAGCAAAGAGTTACAATTGCAATCTCCTCCTGCATTCAAGAAGCCAGCGGCCATTTCATCTGCTGTTCAGCAAGGAAACAAGATCAGCAAATGCAGTACTTGCTTGAGGAGAACCTATCTTAAAACGTGTTACTGCTTAACGCTTGGTGACATCACTCTGCTCTCATGACAGCCCCCCAGCAGCACTGCATCCAGGCCTGGGACCACAGTTGAACCAGTTAGGATGATCCCAGAGGAACTTACGAGAATGCTCAGAGGGCTGGAGAACCACTCCTATGAAGACAGGCTGTGAGCTGGGCTGGTTAAGCATAGAGGGGAGATGGTTATGGGGAGACCTACTGCAACCTTCCTGTACCTAAAGGGGGCCTATTGAAAAAGCTAGAGTGACTTTTTATAAGGGCATGTAGTGACAGGACAAGGGAGAACAGCTATAAACTAAAACAGGATAGGTTTACATTAGATAATAGGAAGGAATTCTTTACCCAGGGGGTAGTGAGGCATTCATATAGGCTGCCCAGAGAAGCTGTGGGTACCCCATCCCTGGAGACACTCAAGGCCAGGCTGGATGTATCCCTGGGCAGCCTGCTCTGGTGGCTGCCTGCCCACACACAGGAGAGAGGCTGGAACTGGATGATCTTAAAGGTCTCTTTCAACTCAAACCATTCTTCTATTCTAATAACACTGTCAAAAGAGCTGGGCACAGCAGCAAAAAAGTGTAATTCACCTGTCAGCAAAAGCCACAACTTTGTACAACTATGTAGGGTGTTATTTGAAGAGGTTTTAAGTAGAGCTCTGAGAAATTGCGGCAGAAATTAATCATTCTTCATCTTTGCACTCAGACTACATCTAAACATTACAAATTCTTCCTGTGTAGCATCTTTAAATAACAACTTGCAATATCACATAGTCAAATGCCACGCTCATTCAATATTCATCTGTGTATTAAAGACGTTCTCCTCCTTGTTTGATACATGTAAAGATTTTTTCCCCACCTGTCACTGCCTCACATTTTTCCTCCACTCCCACTTCTCTAGCACAAACGTGTGCTACTTATTTTCACTTTCAAGGCCTTCATAAAGCTGTCCTTCCCCTTGCCATCTGCTCTTGTACAAATATCTCATGTTGCAGCTATTTCTTCAAGTGCGTTAGCAGCCTGAGGGCCACAGATGCACAGCAGATCCAAGAAGCAAACACCTCGCTCCAACAGAGAAAAGCCTGGCTGCTTCTCCAGCCACTGGTGCTGACTACATCAGCACATTTTAATGCCCCTGAAGGTCACAGAGTGGGCACATCTGGCACAGCAAGGGAGAAGAAATCACCTCCATCTTTGCAGTTTTTTATTGAGGCCACTTATGCCCAAGGCAGGGATTCCGCTGTGCACTGGTTAAATCCCTTTCAACTCGCCTGTTACATTCCCTCTATTTTTTCCCCCCCCAATACACACATAAATCTGATTAATATTCCTCCATGAATAAAGCACTGATTGCCATGGCATTCTCTCCAAGAGCTGACCTTGTTTCTTTGAGTTTCTAGAAATGAATTATACAACAAATTCATCTTTTAGTCTTCCCTGTAGCATAAAGGTCACTTACAAATATGCAACTGTTAATTAACAACTCAAGTGACGAAATACAGCAACGCTGTATTTCAATTCTGAGGAAAAAGTTGTCAAGAAAGATGGAAGGGCAACTCCTAAACACAAATATTAGGTTTTAAAATAACATTCAGAAGTCACATCTCATTTCTGCAAAGAGTCACAGATAATAGTGAGCTTGAAGTATTGTTTCAGGCAACAAAGCAAAGCAGCACCCTGTAGCAATCCGCAATAATCAGTTAATGCAAATTCCAGTTCAAGACAGCAGACACAAGCACCCAGCACAGTGACCCTGGGCATCCTCTTCTCCCTTCCCAGGCTGTATCCCACCTGCTGTGAGCAGGCCACCAGCAGCAGCCACTCCTGAGCCACCCGAACCAAATGCTCTCAAATGGCAGGTTTTGTTTCCAGCAACTACCTTTTTTCTTTTCAAGTTGTTCAGTTTTCAGCTAGGGAAGCTGTAGTCAAACGTTGACTAGGGAGCCGTTAAGCAGATTACTGAAATACCTGGATGACTCAAAGATGTCAATTTGTGTAGAAATGTAGAAGATGACTGGTGGATTTCCTTCTAATGTAATCACTTGTAAAAATAAAACAAATTTTAAAAACCACTACCATGGCTAAATTAGAGTATTTGTTAGTATTTGCTGTCACAACACAAAGAAGAAAATGATCTAAATGGATTTTTTCCTCAACTCTGGCAGGCAGGCAATACTAGACAGGATGCTAGCCTTGACCTAATTAAATCCAGAAGTTTTACTATCATCATTGATTTAATAGCAACAGGACCTCAAACCTGCACAAAATATTAATAAATGAATACAAAAGCCTTAATTTTCAAATTTGCACAATTACCCAAAGTAACATCCTAATTTTCTAAGTTGTACCAAAAAAAAAAAAAATCTCCTATAACATTGATCTACAGAACTTTCAAACATTTGCTTAAAGTTAATGAGGCTTTTGAAAAGATCTATTGCATTACTCATTCAGAAAAGGAGTTCAAATATTTTCAAATCTCTTCTTCCCTCAAGAAAGTTTAGAAAGCTCATCAAGAGTGAAAACTAAAGAAGTGATTTCCAAACAGTCCTTCTACCTACTACAGTCCATGCAGTCTGACCCCAGTCTAGAATTTGACGGCATCCCTGTGGCAGTTTTGTACAAGCTGTTAATTACAAGGAAGTATGAGAGCTATTATAACTAGCCAAATTTCTGTTTCAATATAAAAAACATAGGGGGCACAAGTGAAGGGCAATTGCCTCACTTGGTGCAGGCATGCTGGTCATGCTTTGGTATTTCTATAACTTTTACAGGCGTTGAAATAACAGCACAGATTTCCCGTAGCATAGACCCACACACCAGTCATTCTAATCACAGCCGCCCGATTTAAAGAGGTTTTGTTTCAAAAATACTGTTATATAACATTCATTTCCCTTACTCCAAGAAACAAAACAAGGATTAGCCACCGCTTTTTTTTTTTTTTTTTTTCCAAACACTGAAAAGCAGAACTACATAATAACTTACATCGAGCTCCCAGTGTGGAAGTTCCTGCAGTAAAACTTAATGGTTAGAAAAGAGTTTAGAAAAGAGTTAGAAAAGAGCAAGATTCAATGATAGGCAATGATTCTGTTCGCAGTAGCTGGATAAATTCATCTCTGTATTTCATAGCAACATAACAAATGAGGAACAAAGCACATTTGCCTCTGCATTTCCCAGTGTAGTGAATGTCTGAGTAAGCAATAGTATATTACAAATCTCTCACCACCAAGTATCTGGATGGATACCACAGCAGTCAAGATATTATCTCAACTGTATTTAAATTACAGATTTCACAGATAACCCATTCATTCTCTACGATGAGCTGCAGACAGTCCAATTTTCTGACAGCCAAATACCATTTTCTTCTCTCGCTTCACTGTGCAACAACTACAAAATACAGTTCAGAGACACTTGTATTGCTCTCCCGCTAAGCTGAGAAGAGTCTAGAAGGGAACAAGTTATGGTGCTTGACAAGAAGAGCAGGAATCTCTGATTTGACTCCACAAAGAGCTGAGAGATGACAGTTGTGGTGAAGGGAAGATAAGTATTTCTGTGGCATAAGATTTTCTGGAGCTGTTCCTGCAGAAAGCTTCAGTGAAAGAAAAATGCAAAGTTGCTTTGGACCTAGCAGTTGTCCCTGAGAGTGACACAGCAGTCTAATTAGCCATATTTAAAATAGAGCCAGTCTAGGGATTTGAAAATCAAATCTCTCGGGATCAGAAGGAAGACTGTGTTCACTGAAAAACCTTCAAGTTTTTCACCTAGTAACACACAGCTACACCAGTTCTTCTCAGGCCTCTCTTCCACAGCTTGCTTATAAAGCACAAAAGCAGATTTTATCTCACTTTATAGGAGAGTCACTGCAGTCTTGGCAGCGCTCACAGCAAACTTGTATCCTGACCACCTCAACAGTAAGAAGACAGGATCTGGGAGCAGCTATGTGTATTAGCACTGATAGCAGTGCTAGTTTCAAAGCAGCAGAGTGGATCAACAGGCTCCTCTTTAATTTCTCAAACATTTAGAAACAAAACTTCGTCTGCTCACAGCAGAAATAAGCAGGATTTATAAGAGTTCAGCATTTTTAAGCAAAAAGCACATCTTTTAATTCTAGCAATACTTCTACATTTTTGTACTAGAGCCATCCAGTTGATCTTTTCTGGCTATTATTGGGTTATTAGAAGTATTTCCAGCTATGAATACAAGGGTATATCTAAAAGTAAGGTTAGTGCAAGTGCTGCCAAGTGTGTCCACTTACTACCTACACAATAAACTAAGCAGCAAAGGATGTCTGCCTACTAAAACTTCTGTAAAATATTATGAAAGCATTTTCAAAGTCTCACTTATTTCCACCATTTCAAAAGTCTTCATAAAAAATTTCTCCTAGAGCATGCGTAATCAAAACAAATATTCCCGTGGGAAAGTGTAGAATGAAGGAGATGTGAATCATCAATAGTTCAGATTTGAGTCACCTTTCTCTGAGATGCAATTTCATTGGTTTCAACTAAATCAGTTCTGATTGTGCTATTGTAAGAAAAAAAAAGTGAGACAGAAATAAGAGCTTTCATCTTGGTTTTGGATTGGAGAACTCAATAGCAATTCAGACCGCAGTGAGTGCCAAATTCAACTCAGAGTCTGAAGAAGATCTACTAAATCCTATTGCAGCTCCCTTAAAGCAAAGACCCGAGTGACCTGCTTCTGCTGAGATGTATTTGCTGTCCATTGTTTGAGCTGAAAGAATTATTAACTATCTAAGGTCAATTCTCAAAAAGAAAATTAATTATGTCAGAAACGTCTCACCCACTGTGCATAAGCAGAGTGAAAGGACTGGTGTGTTTCTTTTACCAGGCACTCAGAAGGCAATGTATGAGATTTAATCCAGCAAACACCACAAGGTAGATTTCCTTTAATCACCTAGTAGGACTAATTTCATGAGCAAGAACAGCATGACTAAGTATCACAAGTGAATACTGAAATCCATATGGTGGAAAGAATGAGAAACAGAGGCTTCAGGTGTCAGAGACAGAAACAGTCATTATGGTTGTTCTCAAAGGCTGACCACAGCTGGAACCTGAACCTTAATATTTATTTTGCTGTGTACTATCAAAATATTCTATCTAGAAGACTATTTTGTGCGTATGAATATCAATTTGTCTTCTAAAAAAATAATAAAGAAAAAGCAGTATACAAAATAATCATGAGAAAAATGAGGACTCAATTTAGTGTGTTTTCTGGATTCTTAACAATTTGTTATGGCTAACAGTCCTCGCTGTTTATTTCCAAAGTTATATTTAATCTCCAAGGAAACTGTTGAATTTTGATCACCACTGCTTAATTACATGGAAAAATAAACAGATTGATAATATTAATTTGCTTTACAATAGATCACATACATTATCTTCAATTCTCAACACATATTACAGCTTCCATTTCACGGCAGATAACAATTCATAAAATCATTAATTTTAAAAAAAGCTTTTTACTTGTACTAGTGAGACAGAAAAAATCCTTATTTGAGCTCACAAGCATTCATATTTTACAACCCAACTCCTATTGTATCTTGTTTACCATATGTGAGCCCCCAAGGTAAAGCAATTGCAAGCTTTACCTTGACATTTCTATGTAAATTGCTTCAAGTTATGCATGAAAATCTCATAAGACAGGTTCTGTTTTTTCAGGTAAGTGGGATAATGTTCTTGTGAAGACTAAAAGGACAAATTTTAGACAAAAGTCATGAGAATAAAGGTGGACTTATATAGATAGACAGATAGATATAGATATATCAGAAGGGATGCAGGGAACTTTTAATACCTTGACATTAAGTTTAAAAGTATCTTGTCTTGAAAGTCACAGATACCTCCTTAGAATTCAGGTTCCTACTATCCTTCAGGGCACAAGTGGGCCAGAGTACTCAATTTTTGAATCAGAAAACAATATTCTCGTGACTTTTCACAGTTAATTACTGAACCACTAAACAGTAAACAATTTCTGAATGAAAAGAATAGAAAGACATTCTTGGCATACACCTGTCAGTCGAACTATGATAAATTTTGTTTGGGTGTGGAACCTGTATAAGGTTGTCTTTTGTTCCTTCATCAGTTTGGAGGGAGAAGAGATGAGGCTCAAGACACTAAAAACTTCCTGCCAATTTAAAAAGTTCTCTCACATCTAAAAACACCAAGGTATTAAGGAGAGACTAAACAGAACATCACCAACTTTGGCCCTAATGTAGGTTAATTTCTTCTACAAAATTAGTATAATTCTCATTAGAAGCAGCCATGGGCTCTGAAAAAACCAGAAGACGAAAGAGAGCATTAAAGTCGTAGCCTCTCCAAAAATCAGATTTGTGTTTCACATTACTCATACTTTTCCACTTTTTGGATTGCAAGCAATCTAAATCACAGGAACATGGCTCCAAATGACTTCTTGAGACTCCATCACTAATAGAGGATCAAATAAGTCTACATCATCAGGTGCTCATCTAACATGCTCCTAAAAATTCATAAGAGCTCATGCAGCTTTCCAAGATACCATTACCATTATTGAAGTTTACCAATGAAGTTAGGCAATTTTGCCCGTTCTGTAACTGAAAACAGTTAAATAACAAGTTCAGCCCGTTGTACCTTAGCCTGACAGAAATCTAGAATTTAGTATTCCATGTCCAGCAGCTGCTTACATAATAAACCTGGGCCCCTTCAACCTACTTCATGCACCAATCCTCTTTAGGGGAAACGCACTGCCCAGAGAGGTTGTGCAGTCCCCTTCTCTGGAGATATTCAAAGCCCACCTGGATGCTTTCCTGAGCAACCAGCTCTAGGGAACATGCTTTGTTTAGAGGTTGGACTAGATCATCACCCAAAGTCCTTTCCAACCTCTACAATTCTATGATTCTGCATGATTCTCCCTTTACTGAAAACATTCCCCCCCTTTTTTTTTTTCTTCCAGTTTCTTTGAGTAGGGAGAATTAGCTCTTTCCTGTGATTGCTTTCTGTTGTCATGCAGCATGAATTTCTTCTCTGTCATTATCAAAAAGCACATTCAGTTACTTTTTCACTTTAAGCTCCTTCAAAAGATAAAAGACAGCAGCAGTTTGGATCCATGTAACAAACAGAGAGTAAATACTACATCATATTGTAACTCAGCTGATTTAATTCGGCTCAGTAATATAGGAGATTTGAAGTGAACTATTCTTGTGACACAGAAGTAATGAAAAGTCAACCACATGAAATGGAATTCTTTTGCCATTACAAACAAGTCTGACAAGTTTTAGATCAGATTCTCTGATCTAGATTGACTCTTACAGGTAGAATCCTAAATCCTCATCACTGACAAGGTGTACACCCCACCTTCTGGAGGTTTCCTTAGCAGAAGCAACCGACATGGCATTCCTTGGGAGTATTTCCAAGCCCAAGACCACTTACTGTTTTTCTCACTTTTCTCACTGTATAATCTCCAGGTTGTTAATGTATTGCAACAAAATTCAAGATTTAAATGTTTGCACAGTGTCACAATTTACTATAATTCCACACAGGGCAAGTAACTACTTCTTAGGTTGTAGTACACAAAGGAACCCAGGGAAAATCCAGAAGTGTGGTTTTTTACTGGTATTGATATATCAGTATTTCAGGAAGGGAAAAAAAGAGAAAGGAGAGAGATCTCCATCTTTCCATTAAGCTTGTTCCTTTATCAGACCAAAATAACCAGCATCAAAACCATTTTTATTCTGATGACAGAAAATAAGACTAGATTCACACTTCAGACCATCAGTGAATTAATATTTGATAGTTCTTCATACTCCAATGGCTGATTTTTCCTTTTTTCCTTTATCACATTATCTTATCCCTCCCAGTTCTAAATCTGATCACAAAATACTTCATGTTTTACAGGCGTTTTTTTTTTCTTTAAAGTGGTGAGTCTGACCATGTACAGTATTTCTGCTGCCTGAAATGCCTTTTCTGTTTTTCTCCATTCTCTCATGTTATCCTTATCTCTTTTTTATCTCAATTGGCAAAATCTCTTTTCCCTTTTACTTCCAGTAACTAGGAGAACAAAGAGGTTAAACAGAGACCAAAGAGGTTAAAACTCACCACAGTATACCTTACTCTGTGAAGCACTGAAAGGAGAGTTAGTGCATGAAAAGCTGACAGGTATTGAAGGCCTGGTACTGCAAAGAGATATGCAACTAGATCTTCATACAGAATCAAGTTTGTTTAAGCGCTGGCAACACTGAGGTATTCAGCTACACAAACTTCAACAAGAAAAATACAAACTTAAAGGTAACATGGTAATATGGCTTCCCTTTGAAATATTTTCTGGCACATCTACACTGTTACCTACAAAGCACTAACATAAATAAAACATTTAGGGCACCTCAGGAGCCAAAAGTAACTTTATACCATATTTTATTACCACTTACACTGTTCATGCTACGGCTTTTTTTGGTTGGGGAAGTTGGTGTTAAGGTCTGCTTCAAGATGTCCATCACCACTGAGTAATCTGTGCCATGACCCACGATTTTTTGTTTCTGTTTCCACATCTTATCACTCCACTGAGGAATGTTGCTATCAGTTCTTAAGGCTGTGATTTATAAAGAAGAATTCAGCTCTCGAATGGTTCTAGTCCTTACCCCAAATTAAATCCACCTACCACCTAATTACTACGCTCTGTCATACAGTGACAAGTGACTGTGAGTGCAGTTTAGAAGACAAAGAAGATTAAGTCAGACAGAAGGAGATGACCTAGTTTTAAACTCACTTCTGTTACACAATGATGCCTATAGGTGTGGACTGCCGAGTGCTTCTGTCCCTCTTCTGAATCACTGCTGTGCATCAGTCCCTGTCTGGCAGAGGGACACTACTCCCAGTGCATGGCTGCAGAGCCAGAGCTGGTACATGGAGCGGGCGGGAAGCATGTCATTTTAAACACCCAACAACATATATTCCTGCAAACAGTTACTCAAGTGCTATATACATACTTCAAAAGCTTCAGCTGAACATCACCTTCGTTCCATTTGTTTCTGTTCCAACTTTACCTCATTGCAGCATTTGTATCATACTGCTGCTAAGAATACACTTCACTTTTTTTGCTGTTAGCACATAGTCAAGCACAAGGACAGAACTAATGCTCTCCATCAGGTCAACAAGGCATAACTGTGTCCTAGTGTTCCTCAGGGTCCTGTCCCTTCACAGATCCTCAGTCATGCATCCTTACTGCTTCACAATAGTAATAAGCATTTCAGTTATTTCGTGGCAGAAGATGCCTGGAAAGAACTAAATAGGCTTCCAAAATTTCTCTATCAGAAATAAAGCAGCTGTGTGGTAAAAGTACAAACAAATACTGAAAATACCATTTGTTATTGCTAAAAGAAAACCAAAGGGCCTCAAGCACAGAATTAACAGCTACATTTGTGGAGGCAGATAGTAAAAAGCAAGCAAACTAAAAATTTGTTTTAGTGGCCAATTCAATTCACACAACTGCTTCCCTCCATAGTGACCAGTGGAAAAACTGAAAAAAAGGAACTAAATTCTGATTTTTCATTCAATTTACCCTGCCATTTCCTTGCTGAAATTAGCTCATATATTCCCTGATCTTTCCAAGGTTTTGTATGTGAAGCACAACAAGAATTTTCATTTATTCTAGCAACACATAACCAGCAAGATCAATCAGACAGTTTAGATCTCTGACAGACCAAGAGCACAGTAAGTGGTAAAAGCATTGTGACAAAATCCAGCTCTTTTTCCCCATTTTGCACTATCCTGGACAAAATCTGGAGGAGTCTTACTTTTCCTTCTGGATCCTTTCTTCGTTGCATGCAATAGAGAATGCAAGAGCAAGGAGTGGAAGTATTTGGAAGGGGGGCACAAAAAAAAACCAAAAAACAAACAAAAAAAAACTTATATCTACATGTGTTTGCAGCAAGGTCAGCTTGAACCCACACAGACATAACAAAATGATTGTGGTGTTCTCAATAAACAACAAGCTCATAACAACAACAGCCCTCCACAGCACAGCCTTGGGTAACAACACATTCACCCACCTTGGAGTTTCCTTCTCCTATATTCTGTTCCTAACTGGAACATTACACAACTCCTAAGAGTTAAGAGTAAGAGTTAAATGTCAACCTCTAAAAAGATGCTGGAAGTAATAGAATCCTTTAGTTCCCTCTTACAGTGAAAAATTTGTGTTCAAAATTAAAGAAGTAAGAAAATATAGAACTTCCAAAATGAGTTTTTGACATTTTTGGGAGAATTCTTTTCATGGGTCTGATTTCAAAACAGAGCAGAAGTATATGCTCGATTTTTATCCTAACAAAATAAAACCCATTATACTAAATCATTTCCCCACAGAAAGATTTCAATATATATGAAACTGTCAAAAATCTCCATTATACATATAAAGGGTACTATGTTATATAGCAAAAAAAAAAAAGAAAAGAAAAAAAAAAGGTAATATAAAACCTACAGAGGAATGGGAAAGATAAATGAACATCTACCACAGAGGCTGGGCAATTCCTAAATGGCAAAGGGTCAGAAAAAAAAAATTTGGGTTATATTGTGAAGCACTTCCATTATCTTTGTGACTGAATAGAGCACAGAGACTGCTATCAATAAATGTCCATACATGTTTTATAGTTTGGCTCACACCACAGCCTATTGCAGTTTTCAGTGACTTGAAGAAAAAAAAAACAAACAAAGCAGTCTTACCATCTCTTTAGGAAAACACTACTAAATGGACTATTCTGTACTTTGACTTCAAAAAAGACTGGATTTAAACCTCCTGAAATGTGTATCCACAGAATTACCAGTATCTTCCTTTACGGACTAATAAAGAAACCCAAAGGAAACATAAACCATATGCTAAGTTAAGCACATGCTGAGACATTAGTCACGTATCCGTTTTTCTTCTTAGAATTGCTTTAAAATATTTCTGTCAAATAATCATAAATCATCCTGAATTCAACAGAAGTTGAAAGGAAAAACAACTGATTGTAAAGACTAAATTTCCCATGTCCAAATATAAGCCTGAAGCCACAGGGGTCTGAATTCTTTTGCTAGCTCCAGTGGTCTTTGGCTGATGTACCTATATTAACTGAGATGGTTATCTGAACAAGCACTGATTGAAGACAGCTCACAACATGTTCTGATCTCTTTTCTCCTTTTCCTCCAGTTTATTTCCTCCTACCTGAAATAACATGTGCTTATTACAGGGGCTGAAGAAGCCCCTGAACTTCTGATTCAAGATCTCTTCCAAATCTCAGCCTTTAACACCTTATAAACTTTCTGAAGTCCCTTTCGTAAAGCAATACAGGGATCACTTACACTTATTAGTCTCTTTTTACTGATAAGAATCAGAATTATAGAACACTGACATTGTAATCTATGAAACAGATATGATGTGCACAGACAACTAATGTGAAGTCCATTCTGACAATCCCAAAGTAATTGTGTGATCTCAACCTCAAAATACATGCTTGCTTTGTTTCCTAAGAACATTTGTCAAATGCAGTGGAACACTATTAGCAGATATTTGACTCATGTCACTAGATTTTCTTCACGTCCACTTGTTACTAAACAGCAGGAGAATCAGGCCATCTCCAGAGTCAGCAATAAACACTGCCTTCTCTTCACAACTTAACCAGAGAAACACTGAGCCACTTTGTAGAGACAGTTTACCTTTTGTGCTATTCTATAATAAATCCAATGTCATTTCTGACCAAACTTTTCCAGATGCAATTCTTTAGTAATTCAACCTACCTGCATCTTTGTGAAGCCCCGTTAAGTGCAGTGGCTCATTTAAGTTCAGAAAGATGTGGTCAGGTGGGTGCAAAAACTCACTCCGGCTGTGTGGCAGAAGACATATATACTCTCCAATGCAAAAATAAAGGCAGTGGCTAAGATGATAACCTGTGACTCACAATTCTCTCTTCCATTCTCTGATCTACAACTGACATTCTTTGCTGCACTGGGCTGATTTTTTCCAGCATCTCAGACTGTGAAATGGGAAGACCAGTCCTTGCTTCATCCCACTCCACTATACTCCTCACAGGGCTTGCCTATCACCAGAAATTATGTGACTACATTAATATGATGTTTCTTGTCAATGCCATATTTTGTCATACTGAGATATCATACTACTAGGCACATCAGCAGTCTGCCATCTAATTTAGATAATGGATAGTCCTCTCACATCTAGTACGATAATACACCTATAATTTTTAGAACAGGAGCTTTGAAAAAAAATAAGCGTTTGACTACAAAGCATGAGTGAGGCTTCAACTGCAATGTCACACAGTCACCGAGAAACAATTGCCTCTAAAGCATGGTCAAAAAACACAGACTAGAATGCATTAAAAAAAAAACAGCGGTGGCAAGCAGACATTAAGCTACAGACTAATAACTTGACGTCCATCTCTTCCTGGAAAGTTAGTGTAACAATACATGGGGGAAAGCATCACCTTTTCTCTAGAAAGGAAAATAATCTTTTTGGTTTTAATCCTAGAGTCCCATGAGAGATTATCAAAGTCTACACTATAATGGCTAAATTCAAAAAAGAAAAAGCACAAAATGAGACAAAGAGCATAGTTACAAATATTCTATCCTTGAACTAAAAAAGCACATCTGTCATTTCTCGAAGTTAATGAATATTCCTCATAGACCTCAACAAAAGCGTATAATTGCTTAGATTTCAATGTGTGCTTAAGTGCTGGGTAGAAAATACAGTTTTCAAGGTTGTGCAGAATCAAGAATGACATTTAGAGACCTAGCATATGGCAAGAAACAGAATTTAAACAGGAGCTATTTCACATGTAGCTGATTTTGTGATAAAGTAAATTCTAGAGTTCACTTAGATGCTTTGCTCTTCTCTCATTCTTTTCTGACAAACCAGAAATGTATACAAACATATACAAACTAAATATTTGCTCTTATGTATCACAGAGAATTTACGCTGAAGGAAAAAGGCTTTTCTAAGGGTTGGAAGTGATCTTTTCTTGACCTTACATTATAAACTGAAAATTTTTTACCACTGATTCTCTATATGATTTGTTTTCTAAAAGAAAACTTTTATAAAGAAGAAATAGAAGTTATTCCATTTCTAGACATTAGAGATGAACAGCTTGTATACCAATTCCTTTTCCCACTTACAAGTTTGAGTAGACCTACATGAAGTTCAATAAGGCCACGAACAAGGTGATGCACTTGAGACAGAACAATCCCAAATATGTGCACAGACTGGGAAAAGAACCCTTTGAGGGCAGCCCTGTGCAGAAGAACTTCAGGGTCCTGGTGGATGAAAAGCTGGATATGAGAGAGCAGTGTACTCCTGCAGCCCAGAAGGCCAACTGTGTCCTGTATTGCGTCAAAAGAGGGGTGGGTAGCAAGGAGAGAGAGCAGACTGTCCTCCTCTACTCCACTCTCCTGAGGCCTCATTTAGTGTATTGTGTCTAGGACTGGGGCTCCCAGCCCAAAAAGGCATGGAGCTGTTGGAGTGGGTTCAGAGGAAGGCCACGAAGATGACTGGGGAGCTGAAGCCACTCTACATAGAAAGGCTGAAGCAGCCTGGCTCATTTAGCCTGCAGAGGAGAAGGCTTCAGGGAGACCTAATTTCAGACTTGCAGTTCTAAAAGGGAGTTATTAACACGAGGAAAATCAACCTTTTACATAGTCTGAAAGTTTTAAGACAAGGGGAAAGGGTTTAAAACTAAGAGAAGGAAGATTCAGATTAGATATCAGGAGGAAATTCTTTACTCAGTGGCAGCGAGGCACTGGCATAGGCTGCCAAGAGGATGTGTGCATGTCCCATCCCTTGAGGCACTCAAGGCCTGGTTGGGGGGGCTCTGGGCAGCTTCATCTGGTGGGTGGGTGGTTGGAACTAGGTGATCTTTAAAGTCCCTGCCACGCTAAGCCATTCTGTGATCCTCACTTCATGTCTCATTATTCTGATGCTGAAGTTTCAGACTGCCGAGGAATAACCTAATTTCAGTGTAATTTAACCAAGCCCTGGTAAACATGGAAGAAGATATTGAAATAGATGATTTCCACTACACAATGGGGATAGCATCATATGCTCCTATGATAGATAACTGAAGCGTGCTTTCATCTTAAGAGAAAGTATTCCATGTGCAAAAAAATAACCGACAGTAGCACTATAGCTACTTACTGCTGTGGGTAGAAAAATAAGCCATGTAAAAGCAATGAGCAAAAACAAGAAATAAATCAGTAAATTACACAAAGATGTGCAAAAGAAAGAGAAAAATAGCTACTATTCACTTTTCACATACACAGTAATTTTATTTGGAAGTCTTAAATCTCCACTAATTTCTTGGGGCACAAGAAAGATGATAGATTTAGAATTCGTGTTGGTCTAACCTCTATATCAAATAGATATGCAGACATGAGAAAAGCTACCTTATGACTGCTCTCAGCCTCCCAAATTGCTTGAATTACTTTGTGCTGCAGAATATAGGGGGAAAAAACCTCACACCTTTTTTTTACACACACACACACACACACACACAAATATATATGAATAAATATATAGATGAAGCTAGGAAAAATGTAATGCAGCATTCTTTAAACCCTTTCACGATTCTTTAGACAGTAAAATTAGAAAAGATGACAACAGTAACCTGCATAGATATCTGAAAACACTGAAGTACAAAAGAAGGCACTCTTTGTTTCAAGCTGAGACCAAGGTTGTCTCAAACCAGCCAATAATCACCCAATTCTTATTGTTCTACTTCTTTTTTTTCCACGTGATTGCACACCAATAGTATAGAACTAACACTGTTATAAATCTGGGTAACAGAAGTTGGCTTTAGAGCTTATTGTAGTGAAAGAAACACCTCGTTTCAATATAGCATTTGCAATTACTACATAAACAAAATTATAATTGTGTAACTACTGCTGTTGTGATCTGAAAGGATTTTTTTCTCCCTCCCAGAAGCATCCACAAAGTTAGGTAACTCTAGACATAAACTATCCAAACACTCAAAAACAGTAGCTTATTCAGGAGATTTTTCCAAAAATGTCACATAGGCTCAGATAAAGCTGCCTGGGTATTAGAGAAAATCATGTGTCTGAAAGAGTAAGATGAGTTTTTTTTCCTACCTGATGACTTTACTTGCCTTTTTTTTTTTTTTTTTTTTTTTCTTCCCCTCAGCTAACCTTACTTACTTTCTGAATAAAGTGTTGGTCCTTGGAAACGATGCAATTGTTTCTGATAGGCTATTTGCAATGCCAGGCAAAGTGTTCTTAAGATTATCAACAATCGTATATTTAAAAAGTTTACTCACCCAACTGACTTTAGGGTCTCTAGCTACAGAACACTCCTTCTCAGTAAGCAGGCTTCAACCGATGTCCCTTGGAAGGTTTAGACCCAGTGAGTTCCCTCAAATCATGTGGGAAGCCCAGGTGAATAGCTTGCACCTGTACTCCCTGGGCCAGTCACCCCCTTCACCAGGTGCTCAATCACCATTTCAGGCCATGACATAACTGGGCTCTTACAGACAGGCTTTCATATTTCTTCCTTAGAGATGGAAGAGGCAGGTCCCAGTCACAGCTGCAGAAGTCCATTGCCAGCTGAGAACACTGAAGGATTTCCCAGAGGGCAGAGGAGCACCATTTTCTCCTGTCCCAATGGGATTCTTGCTATCTCTCTCTCTTGGAAAAAGGTTGGGAGGCAGCCTTTGCACCATGAATAGCTCTGAGATACTATTTATGTTTACAAAATAAGCCTTACACCAGACAAGGATAAGAATTTCATACTGTCCAAACAGATCAGTTATTTTCTAGGTTGCTCACAATAGTAAGTATAGCAAAAGCACTTAGGCTGTGTGTCAGACACACCTATATGTCATACTCTCCAAACCAGTGATGTAGAATAACTGGTAGCCAATCACCATCATGTTTTGCAGCAGATTAGAAGTCTTCAAAAGCAGTCCCACATACATGCAAAGCTGGACTAGTTGAGTGAACACATCTCAATCCTAGATAACAGAGGCAAGTACTGCAACAAATCAATCATAAATATTGTGCTGAGCAAAGAAGTGAAGACAGCATGGCAGGCAATTGTAGTTGCCTTCTTGGGAGCACTTGCATTCAACTCTCCCACCCACCACAAGGCAGACTGACTCACATGTGACATAGCTACCATTCCTTAGTAATGGCTCAGCGCCATTCCTTAGCTGACATTTTACTTCAGTGATTTCCTATTTGATAATATCTTTCTTCTTATACTGCTATCCATTCTCAACTTCTTGTTGATTAATTTGCCTTATGGACATGTGCCTTTATTCCTTCTCCCTCTGTCTTATTTACTGAAGCCTCATACTTTATTCTCTCTACCCTCCTCAGTGATCTCTTCCCTCCATGTGCATTCAAAGGGTTTTAACGCTGCCTGGCCCAAGGTTTTTAAAAGATCAAAAAATGAGGCTGCACAGATATTGATTTATAACTTATTTCTGCAGGTGATTGAAATCTAAATTAACCCATAAGCAAATGACAACCATATCTCTATTCAACAGAACCCCTGTTTATCTTCAGATACTAAGAAATACGTGATTTAGTTGTAGAAATCAGTGCTTCCAAAACGTATTTCAGTGTTTACTCTTTAACTATGTTTAACTTTGTCTTTTATTCTAAATCACTTTACTCTTCTTAAAAGTTGGTAATGATTTTACTATTATGAGATAGTCCTCAATTCTTTCTCACACTGGAAATTATCTTGATTCAAGTCTACCTTGTCAAATTAAGTACAAGCATGTTGGAAAACCGCTTCAGAGCAGTTCATTTCCTTCCCTTAAATAAAAACAAAAGAAACAACGGTTTGACATTTCTTATATTTTTGGGGGCCTAGCTACATCATACCCTGGACTTAAAGGTACATTAAAGGTACATTTCCCTTCAAGATGTCCCATTATTTCTCTCCGTCAGACAGACTGTGCCAGCTACTCCAGCTGCCTCTTCAGCCTTCCTCTTCTTCACACTGCATTTCTGCTCAGTAGTTCAACAAAGGCATGATAGTCTATGAAACTGTTATCAATGCAAGAATAGCCTGGCCTTTGCAAATGGCCACCTCAGACAATTGGCTGCCACACATCAAGACCCTCAGCCAAATGGCCCCATGCAGGAGAAATCAATGGCCAGCAACTGCCTCAGACAAACAGCAGTTTGAATTTGCACCCATCTGTGCCCAGGTGCCCTGCAGTATCACAGGTTGCAGACACAATTAAATCAGCCAGCCCAAAAGAGGGAGGTTTCCTTTCACATCTGTATGGCAAGACTTGGCTTCCAGGCCAGGTCCAGGCTAACTCTGCAAATGACCTCTCTGCAGCATGGGCAGAGGGCTCCCCACACACAGGCTTCTCTGGTAGGCTCCTGATTGTAACAGCATCACTGCCTTCCAATTGCCTTGAGGCCTACATCAGCAAGCCTGAAACAAGCCACCCCTGTTCCTGCAAACCCACAGTGTAAACTGGAAACTAAGAGATAAATTGTGGAGGTCAACTCCAATCCCAGAGGCTGAACCCACAGCCATGGCGACCAGAGGGAAGCATAACCCACATCTAAAAGGAGAGAGCCAACAGCACTGTGTACTTCCACAGCTGTTCAATGTAACTTCAAACAAGAAGCACCAGCTCCAAGGACAAGGGGGAACAGGAGGAAATCTCAGTCCTTTCTCAGGACATTTTAGTTAATACCTGCTGTGACTGTAAGTTGGCTCATAAAAACAAATCTCAGCATAAAATATTAAAGTCTTCCCAGGGAAATCTTTAACTCCCCTACTGCACTCAATCTTTTTTGTTCTTTCCATCAGTGCTTTTTAAATAATTAACAGCAGGTAAAAATTATCTTCTGCATTAATAAAATTCCTAGCACTCTTAAAAGAGCAGCTCCACCACTTACGACCAAGTGATGCACTGGGCTGCTTTACCCTTTAAATGTAAACTTGCGGCTAAAGGGCAGTCTTTTCCCCAAGTAAAATTGAAGTTTTCCATCCAAGAAATATCAAGAGACTCACCATTCCCAGGACTAGATCCTGAGGAGATGTGGGCTGCAGCTGGTGCCTCCTCCTGCCACCTCTCCCAGGCATTTTCTGTCCTTCACCTTGCACTCACCTTCCCCTTTTGCCTTGGCAGCTCCCCCAAGCCTTTTGCCATGGGAATCCCCAATTACACACCTCTCCTTGGACTCTCAAGCGCCAGGAACCACCTCCTGAGATCTCCTTTCTTCTAGGAACAACCTCTGTTGAGTCATGTGCACAGATGGCCCAGGCTCCCATGAAGGGGGCACCTTGCCAGCTGCCTCACAGCATCCCTATCAGATCAAGCTGGGTCTCAATTGGTCCCAGTGCTGCTGCAGTGCAAACCCCACAGCATGAGCATACCACAGATCACCACCAAGCACCTTGGTGAATTCCTCATAATTTATGCCAACTGAAACATAGTTAAAAATTTTGGATACATCAATGGAAAAATTGCTCTGGTTCTCCAGTTTGCCAGTGTCCAGTAAATAATATTCAGAGTGCTTACTTAACAACTACAAATTAAGTTGAAACAGGTCATTCTACCATGATAAACTGCAGAAGATTTCTAAACAGAAAAGTACATACCAACTGGTATATTGGTCCTTGAATGTGGACCAAAAGATATTTTCACTGTCAATACACTTCACAGTGATGCCTTTGCAATTTAAGTACCATGCTTAATCTGTTTTCATAGGCCACGTCTTTAATGGCACAGGATGGAAGTGACATTAGGGACATTTTCCTCTCTACATCACAGACAACACAGGCTTAACTATGTCAACTCCAAGATATGGAGATTGTTGGTCTTAGTACTGAGACATTTAGCAGCTGCTGAGGCATAACTATGTATTTAATTTCCCAGCAATGTCATTTCTTACACAGTGATCGGTGATGTTACTATGGATTATAAAGTCATCATAAAATTATTTAACGTAACTCAACTTGAAAAGCTCTCTCTAGTACTGGCTAATAATAATTGACTCCTACACTAAGCGAACTTTTCTTAATAATGGAGGTATTCTTATTTTTCTTAATTACTTTGCAGATAAATACAACTCTTTTTAACCTCTGTGAGAACTTGCTTTAAGAACTAACTTTAAAAGATCACCTTATTTGCCAGTTACAAAAACATTAATTTTTCTTTCTTTTACAGAGAAACACAGAAATTTCCAAGGTGACATAATAATCTAATAGCCATCTAAATGTGAGACACTGTTAAGAGAAAATATCTTTTTGAATTCTGAGAGCAAGTGCCACTGAAAAGCAATGTTACATTCAATTAGGCAAAGAGCAGTGTGCAGGAAAAAATGGTACACTGTCTTGTATTTAAAATCGCGCGGTTCAGTCATACAAAAGAATATGAGCTTGTCAAGCTATTTCATTCACAACAGAAAACAAGGACAAAAAGGAAATCCAGAATAATATATATTTATATAAATAATGATTTCAGAAACTAATTTCTAAAATATATTTCTATGTTTGTTTTATATAAGCTTTCTATTTGGCTGTGTTTTCATAAAACCTGCCTAACTGAAGTTAAAAGTGTTTTAACCAAAAACTATACATTTTCTCCAATTTTATCTTGGTGAAAAAACAAAACAAAACAAAACAAAACAAAATAAGCTACTCAGATTGAATTCTTTGGATTGAAATAATCTTATTCACAAACTGTGTTTAAAAGATGGATGTTTTCATCTTTGAAGAAAACCCTAATACAACATCTTTGCTTCTTATGTGACAGCCCTTTTAGGGGACAGGCAGAGCACAGGAGTTTTACACACCTATCTACTATCCAGAAATAATTAGGTAATTACTGTGACTCAGTAGTTTCCTGGGAAACAGGAATTGGTTTGCAAGCCCTGGCTATGAAAGCACAGAAAACAGCATGGCTGTTTACAACCCCATCTCTTCCAGGCCAGGTATATATTTTTAAGTAAAACAAACAACACTTGCACACCAAACTTACATTGTTCATTTTCCCTTCTCCGAAAAACTACTTTCAAAATTTCAAAGCTCTATACAGGTGCTGTGGTGTAGCAGAAAGGAGAGACAGTTTCCAAAATCCTCCAGATGTGTCACAAGAATGGCTTGACATATATGAGTACATTTCATTTCTGCTTTTGGGAGAAAAGGAGAGCCCACAAAGTCAATAAAGCATCGTCCCTTTGACTTCAGAGGAAGTAGGATTGTGTCCTGCCTCTCATGATCAAGTTCTGGGGATTAAAAATGAATTTTAAAAATGAATTTATACCAAGTAAGCGATACCTTCTCTACATCTTTGCATGGGTGCCTGTCATTTCATACAGTGAAGTTATTAGCAAGTTGAGATGAAGGATATCACAAAACTGTGCTCTAAAATACCCCTTAAGCTGATGTTTGGTTAACATTCTGCAGAAGGTTATCAAACAGGTCAGGAGATTTTCATGGACAAAGTGTCTGCATAGTGATAAGGAGCGTGATGGAAATAGTGACAGAAAAAATTAATCTGCTTGTCACCCTGAATAGCTCTAGAGACATCCTTGTGTAGTTTTACTGTCATGGGATGAGAGATAAATTAGCTATATGGCACAACATCATGCTGATTTTCAGGAGGGCATGGTGAAGGTGAAATGTATACCTTCTGCTCATGAATGTCAATCTAACTGAAGCCTTGGAAGCATATATTGCTGTCAGGCTGCTAAGAAACAAAAACAAGTTGTCTGGGTACTTGCCTTGAGTGAAAACTGAATGAAGTTTCCTGCTCAGAAAATAAAACAATCTGAGATCCCCAAAACATTATATGGTATAACATAACAGAAGTATTTTGAAAGTTTTCCTTCAAGGCTGAAGGAATTCTTTAATGCTGGAAAAAATAAAATCATCACTAGTTAGAACCTGATACCAAATCATAAGGTTAAGGAATAAGCAATTAGAGTAGACTGTGGGATTTGTTTCTTCAAATGCATTATTGGGATATTCCATTTTTTTCTAGGTATTTGCACGCTGAGGGCTTGATGCATTTCCTTAAACGAGCCCAATATTCTATTTCACTCTTGCTTGTTGACTGCTTGTATTTCTCACCATACTGGAATACTAGAATATGAAAAATGCTTCTACAGTTTTGCAATATATAAATAATTAGCACGACAGAAAACGAAGCAAACATAAGCAACTCTGTGGAGGACTGCTTTAACTTCTAACATACAGACATAAAGGTGCACACACACATTTTTCCCTTGAACATCAATAAGTATGTTCTCGGATTACATTCTAGTTCCACAATCATTTCCTCTTACACTAATAATTGTCACTCTACAGCAAACTGGTTTTTGGCCTTGCCAAAATTATTAAGCAACTTCATGGTTTCTAGGCTGAAAGGAAAACCCACATCATAGAGAAGTTGCTGACAGGTCACATGAATTCTGGTGTCAATGACTTCTTATGGCACACATGAGAATAACCAGTACTGCATTGCCTGGTGGGATATAAAGGTACTGTTGTTCATTGCCTGTGACTGGCAGCTGCTACAGAAGTGTGAAAGTCAGCTCTAAGTAACTGTAAGTTGAATATGGCAGCTTGAGAGGTTACTGACCTATATGGGAATCACATACAGAGGTTTCTAACTTAATATCCACTATGCAAATTGAAAACACTTTTCAGCTGAAGCTAAAAGAAACATTTATATTAGTCAGAAAATGAACCAAGACAAAGACTTAGAATATTATAGAATTACAGCTCTAACAAATTTCTAAAATATGCTTGGGATTGAGCTTGTTTTTATCTTTCAAAGCTAATAGGTGCTGATGGCATCATTTCATACTATACTATGTGCAATCAAAAATGTAATTGTTGTATATATGAAGCCAAACATCCCTTAAGAGCATCATCTGACATATGTCACTCATATGAAAGAATTTCATAAAGGACCCACGTTTTAAGCTGTACAAACAGACCTGCAAATGCATTATCATAGGCAAAAGGTCAGGTTTTCCTGCTTGTTGTTCTCTACACTATTTCTGAAAGAGCAGGGCAACCACTTCACTAATGTCAGGACATGTTTGGCATGCAGGTGTTACTACAGAGGAAATTTGATGCCTTTTACCTTTTTCTACAATTAAAAATCCCTCACTCAGAAGATGCCACAGTGCAGTGACAGTATTTGGATGGCTCTGTGGTCTTTCAAACACAACAACAGTTCAAAAACCACCTTCTCAAAACACTGCATGTGCTTGATTCTCTCATGCAATGCACAAAACAAGACTTAGCTACTACTGAAAAAAAAACCAACGTCCGATTGCTCACTGAAAAACAAGAATGTTGCCATTTATGATTGAAGAAAAGGCACTGGTAAATGTTACGGACTGACCTGCCCACAAGAAAGCTGTTGTAAAAAATCAAGAAGTAGAAATGGAATTCTAAATGTAACTGAAAAATCATGCTTTTAATGTGTTCTTGAAGAATACATGCCAGTGCATAAAACCAAAGTGAAATGTTTCTGCTCCTTCAGTTATAAGAACATTATGCTCCTTTTCATAATAAAGGGAGAAAAAAGTAACATTGCGCTCCTCCATTACAGTACTTCACAAGACTGAAAGTATTTCAGTTTTCTAATTCCTTGTCAGTTGGAAATGTAAATGAAGTACAAGAAATATTCAGACCCCTAAGAAAAAGATTGCATCTGTCTTCTGTCTTACTTGTATCAGGTCACATAAATTAAAGCAGAAAAAGGGTAGTGGATTGCTTATTTGTTTGGAACCCAACATCCCTCTAGTTTTTGCTCCTTAGAATGCTCCAGTACTATGATGGTACCTTACTGCTCTTCTCAGATGTTATTTCAGTACAGTCCCTTCCTTTCCCTTAATTGTGATACGCTAACATTAAAACAAAGCTCCTTGGACTGCATAACTGAAGTCTTTCCTTCTGGGTGAAGTCTGCTGGGATTTTCTACCATTCACCCCACAAAGCATCTCACATGGCAGAGTACTCACCCTGGCTTCATCAAGGTGTGGCCTACCCTTCAGTTAAAAACTGTGATGAGCATTGTATAGGATCAAACTCTTCAAGTCCTCTCCCTGAGTACGTTTTCAGTGTTCTAGCTGGAACAGCCATCCCACAGATGAAAGACCTCAAGTGAAGAAAAGCTATCAGAGCATCAAAAGAATAACAGATCTGGAAAGGGAGACACTAATGTAGACTTAAATCCATATAAGGAGTTCAGACTGCTAAGTGATTTTATACAAAAGATTTTAAAAGAAAAATAAAGTCTATTTTCCTAATAGAGCAAGGGAAGAAATCAATCACAGAAAAATTGTGTCAGACTGATAGTATCAAGGCACTAC